CACAAAGGAGTCTGTATTTACAAACCATTCATATGGGAGTGATAGAGGTTTGCAAGGAGAGCTGAAAAAAAAAAGAAGACCCTGCATAAATATGAAATACTTTTATCTGTGGTAAAAATAATGCTGATTTTCTCAGTAGAGGTTTCAACAAAGATAACTTCCTGTTCTGCAGCTGCACCAATCAACAAGGATAGAGAGATAATAGTGTATTATGATTATGATCTTTTCAAATTGTCTGTGATGTCAAAATGCATGAAGAGTCTATGAAAAATGTTACTAACATTCATTTGTTTGAATTCAGTGTTTAATCGAGGAGATGTGTTTTAGAGCAGTTTAGATATCAGAGCTAAATCCAATTGGCAGCTGGTCACTAGTGGTGTTCCCTGGGGCTCAATACTGGGGCCAGTCCTATTTGACATATTTATTGATGATCTGGACTTGGGGATTGAGTGCACCCTCAGGAAATTTGCAGATGGCACTAAATTGGGTGGGAGTGTCAATCTACCTGAGATAGGAAAGCTCTACAGAGAGGCCTGGACAGATGATCAGTTGGCTGAGGAGAACTGCATGAGGGTCAATAGGGCAAAGTGCTGGTCCTGTGCTTGGGACACAACAACTTATGCAGTGCTACAGCCTGTGAGAAGAGTGACTTGAGTGTTGTTGAACAGAAAGGGATTTGGGAGTGCTGGTGGACAGCAGCTCAACATGAGCCAACAGTGTGCAGAAGTGGCCAAGAATTAAAGATGCATTTTACTATCTAGCAAATCAAAAGTATCATGTAAGTATGTCCCATGGACACTAGTATTCAAAATATCAGGTAATTCTTCTGGTCAAATGTACCTGGAATGAAACAAATGCTTTCCTGGTTGAACATTTTCTTAATGAAAGAGTTAGCAGAATTCTGCTCTTCCTTTTTATTTACTTAGAGCCAAATTCAATTCTACAGGTCCCAATATCCTCCAACTCCTTTTGTATTTGGAGGAATGAGTAAAGCAAGCTAAAAGAAACCAGGCAGGAGATTTTACTAAGCTATAATCTAGTAGGAAGCATTTTCAAGACAAGCCAGATCAGCAGAATTTCAAAATACTAATCTGTATGCAGTGAAGTCTCAATATAAAAAGCTTAAGTGTTTTGATTAAACATACCATTATGTGCATAAATCTTTATATACTGAGACTTCAGGGTAGAAAACATATCAGTGTATAGCTTCTGCAGTAATTCTGAGAGACTGTGTTATCTTAGTTTTGTACAGATGCTTCAGACAATGGTATTTTATGCAAATTTCCATTTTTATTTTAAATTTTCATAAGCAGGTACTGCAAATAGAAGTTATTGCCTCCCATATTGAGTTTGTTGAACCTGTGTAAGAAGGCACTAAGGTCTCTATAACAGAAGGTCTTAAAATTCTTCTGGCAGGAATTCTCATTCCTGCAAGCAACAGCTAGAGTAGGACCAGCTAATAATGTATAGATTATATTCTGTAGGCCCTCCAGTCCCAGTTTGCCATAGGAATAATTCTTCACTTGATAGAGGAATAAAAAGCAGGAGAAACCAGGAAAACAGAGGGGAGAAAAAGGTAATTCTATGCTGGTCTTCTCCCTTTCTCTGCATTCAATGGAAATTATACACTCATATTTTTAACCTGATTTTGGAATAGAGTTGTAAAAATCACTGTGTCTATGCCCTCCCTGAATTCCCCCCATGTACAGACTTGTAAGTTTTTCAACTCCTTTGTCTTTTAATGAAGGTTGAGATGTGGAGTTTTTATTTCTTCACATTCCAGAATTTGACTCTTTCTTCTATTTGTCTTTTTTTCTTTATGCTCTATTAGTTTGCTCTTACTCATACTGCCTTGATTTTGCAAATTCATTCTTATTCATTGTCTGTGTCTTCTAGTTTGGGGGTTTTTTTTGTTTTTTTCATTGTTTTGAACAGTAAATTCTCTTTCATGAAAATTTAAATTATTAAATGGAACACTTCTCATTAAAAAATGTAAAAAGCAGGACATGGTCTTCTTCCAATACCTCATGGAAGGGCTTGATTCATTTTTCAGTTGTGTGATAAGTGATAGGGAAAATTAGCACTAATGTCAAAAATCTTTTGCATTTACTTGGTGAATTTTTCATTTGTACAAGGAAAACAGTTTTAACATCCAGAGTGTAATCTGGATGCCTTGACCATATTTCATGTTTATTGTCTCTTTTTTTTGGTATGATACCTTTGTCACCCACAGATCAGAGGGTGATACTCTTAGCCACTTGAGGTTCTTCTGGATTGATTTTCCATTACTGGGACATGCAATCCAGCTTGTAACAGAAAAGAGCTAGGAGAAAATAAAGCCTAGGGAAATAATATTGTTGATATGCTTCCTTTGTTCTCTTAATAGCCACTTGAATCAGTATAAACAGCCTTAAAAATTATTTTTTTTCTCAATATCAGATTCTTAGCTGTACTCAGTATTTGTTGCAAAATGTGAATCAATGAATTTAGAACATTCTATTCAGAAATCGAATAGAACTACAGCATTCAATGCTAGTTTTTGCATGGGCATAAAATTTTAAATGCTGGGTTTAACAGCAGCAATAGACAATTCTGGTCATCCCACACTGATCTTTATTTGTGAGGGTATCACTTTTAAGAAAAGATGACATGGTAGAAGAAATGCAAATATTGCAGTAGAAAGACCAAAGGCTCTGTAATATGTCCATTCCACAACTCTTTGTGCAAAATTTTGCAAATCACCAACACTAAGTGATGGAAATACTGTTGAAATGAATCCTTATTAACTGCATATTTCTAATGCAACTCTCATAAATTTAGCTCATTGTAGACAGGATTGGTCCATGCTTTATGGTGTCTGTCTATGAATTCCTCAGTTAATTCATTTTTTAACTGCTTCAAATAGACTAGAATTGTATGTGTACAAATCTGGTCCCCAGAAAATATACATAATACATGAAGAATAGATGGTACTCACTATATTTAGACCAACAGAAAGTCTGGAAACAAAATGCAAATCAGTTTAATTAGAAAGCAGCCTGTCAGATCAGAAGATGGCTTAAACTGAGTCCAAGATTATTCCTCTGAATCTAATGTTATTTAAGTTGTTGTTGTTAAATATTTATATGCAGTGTAATGTTGAAAATATCCCCAAAAGATTATAGAATGCACTTACACTTCCCCAGGCTCTGGTGGACTAATCACTTTCCTTCTTCCATCTGACTGAAGAAATGTGTCAAGTATAGGGGTTTGCAGAGTTTCAGCATAATCAGGATGGTCTGAATGTTGTGACTTGGGTCTCTGCATGCACAAGGGAGTAGAACAGGATTTGTTTTCCTTTCTTTCTGCTTCACATAGAGTCCTGTGTAAACACGGTTTACCTCTTAGTACAAAACATCATCCTTTTCAATGCACAGGTGATTAAAACACAAGTCCTTGCAATTTAAATGTTTTGAGTATGGCCCTTCCCATCTTTTATTCTTGAATAAAAGAAAATGTGCTTTTGCATTTTGCAATAACCCTTTCTATGCTTTACTTCTAGAGTGGCACAGCAGCTCTTTGCTGTTAGCTTTATTCTCATGATAAGCTCTAGATATTAAAAAGAAATTGAAGAAAAAAAGGAAAACTTAAGAGAAATTCCAAAAATCATATATAGGTTTTCCAACAGTTTAAAGACTATAAAACCTCCTATGCATGCATTCCTTCAGCTCCTTCACAGCTGATTGCAGTACATTAAATAGTCAAATAGGCAGCATCTCTCTAATGGGTACGGAGGATTTTTTAGAAAGGTAATCAGTTAATGAAAATGCATTTTATTACTCAGCTAAAGGAAACCCTAAAGATTACAGTTAGCAAGGAGCATTATTATGACAGAAAGAAAAAGAGGAGGGCTTCATTGTAGAGCTGCATTCAGATCAAATGAAAGAGGGGATGCCATGCCTTTTCATCTACTCTTTTTTTTTTTCCCTGAGATTTCTTAACCACTTTAATGAAGAGCCTTTTGTTCCTGTTTTTGAAGGAAGGGAAGAAAAATGATGGCTTTGTTCTCTCTTTAAGCATTACACAAGTCTTAACATAGAAAACACTTCTAAATGATGTGATTCCCTCTCTAACATTCAGAAAAGAAAAGCTTTCTCTATTCTCATAATTCTTTTTTTAACGTGGATTTTAAGACACTCATTGAAAAGTCCTTAAACACTATCTAAAGAAAAAGAGAGCAGATGACATACAAAGATATGAGACCACTCTTTGAACTGCCCCTTGAAATATCAAAATGTTCAAAAGCTACAAAATTATCGTGTCATTTGAAAACACTGAATTATGAGAAAGAAAGACATCAAAACATGAGAATTTGCATCCCTGTTATCCAAAAACAGCCTTATCTTTCTGAATGCATTTCTACCTGGTACTGTTAATAGGTAAGCATGTTCCTGAAAGTATCTTAAGGGCCTGATTGTCTACCAAAAAGAGGCATTTGTGGCTGGGTCCTGAAGCATAAATTGTTTTTCCATCTTTTAATAAAGTAACGGGATAAAGTGTTCATTAAATATCAGACCTTGTATTAGCTTTAGGGTAACAAGCTTGTTGATTTATGTTTATTAGGCTAAATCTACTGCAGCATAATTAAAAGATTATTGAAAAACAATTTGACAGAAAAATTGGAAAAAAAAAGAAGAGGAATGCTCTTTGGATGGATATAATAGTTGGGCAAGGATGTTCAACACCATGGGACTAAGTGTGATAGGAATTGTTGCACCAAGTTGCCTGGCTCAGAGAATTAAGTTTTGTGCATATATATTTATATATGTGATCACATGGGGGGTTGTATTTTAGTGACCAGTGTGACCATGGTGAGATGCAAACGGCTTTTTGATAAACATTATGGTTGCTAAGGATATAGTTTTTCTTGTGACAGTATATTACATTTTTTTTCTTCTCAGGAATAATCAACTTTTCATATAATATATTCCATGCAATTACCTTCCTTGTGGTCTCTTTAGGTTCTCCATATAGAGACAAGATCACTATAGCAATTCTTCAGCTGCAAGAGGAAGGCAAGCTCCACATGATGAAAGAGAAATGGTGGAGAGGCAATGGCTGCCCAGAGGAGGAAAGTAAAGAAGCCAGTGCTTTGGGAGTTCAAAATATTGGAGGAATCTTCATCGTGCTGGCAGCAGGATTGGTGCTTTCTGTCTTTGTGGCAGTGGGGGAATTTTTGTATAAATCAAAAAAAAATGCCCAGTTGGAAAAGGTAAATATTGTCATTACCTATTTTATTTTATACTTATGGTCTATTTAAATAATACTTTAAGCATCAGGTAGTGAAATGCAGGTGATGCACACTTATTGTTTATTGTATAGTACAGTACTTGTATAACAAAGGATGACAGCAAAATATCCAAAGTCTTACATTTACAGCTTTTAATTTGTCTTCAATGTGTTTAATTGTAGCCAGATTTCAGGACAAGTGACTATTTCTCCTCTTATTCAAGCCTGAAAAAAGACAGCTTTTTACTCCTGGAAGTTCACTGCAGTTAATTTTATGGATGAAGAAGAAATCTGAAACTGTAATGGGAAACAAATTAATCTTCTACAGATAATTCTGATTTTCAAAATACAAACTGTCTGTAGCTCAAAGTCAAATATCTAAAAATGTCTCTATAGAAATGTTCTTTTCAGGAGTTTATACTTGCAAAGTTGTCCTCGTAGCATCTGCAAAAGATTACACCAGTATGATTGTTTTTTAGTGGGTTTACTACTGATGTGAGGTCCTGTAATTTCAAACTGACCCAGTTTTGAAAATTCTATTGTTAATTTGTTCTGTACTTGTGATTTGTAAAACCACAATAGTGGAATTGTGCCAAGCCTAGTAATATCTTGAGAAATTCTTAGTTAGAATTATCATTTTTGCATAATTAAATAAATATTTCTATAATATGTGCCTATATTTAAACAGAAACCAAAGCAGTATGTTTTATTGCTATGGTAAATTCTGAATTTTAAGAATTGAGAGGAACTGTTGGATTTTACTAGGTGAGGGTTTTTTCCCCTTTTTTTTCACTTCTGCTTTTGATGAGCTTGTGACCTTTGGCAATTTCTAAATTTCTAAATTTCAATTTAGAAATGAAATTTAATAAAATCAGTAGTAAATCCAAAAGCTATATTTATATTGGTGTTTTTCCAGATGCTACTGGTGAGTTTTTGTAACTTGAATCATTACTCAGAAAATTGAATATTTGTTTTCACTTCTTTTGAGGGAATGTTTTGTTATTCAAGTGTCTTGTTATAAATATATTGTTAAAGATTCCTTTTCCTAATATCTACCAAGGGAGTGTGAGGTTTCAAGGTCCTAAACACTCTTTGAACATGGGTACATTTATTAAATTGTTAAAGGACCATTTAGATCCTCTTCTTTACAAGACTACAGGCTATTTGCTTCTGTTAACACAGTATTGGAATGTTATGTTTCTGAACTGAATTTGTGAGGAAAAAGATAATGGTTACTTAAGTAACCCATGTAAATCCCAACAATTTTTATCCATTCCTAACATGGATATGGATCTCATATGGACTTTGGTATCATTTAGTTTAACTCGTCTGAATTTTTAGCAAATACTCACTTAGAAAAACAGGACTGTTTTGATAATACTCTTGTAACATGAGTTCAGTATTTTACAGGGTGTAAATGCATATCTTATGTGACAACAACAGCATGTTGGAAGTTGTGAGAGGAAGCAAACAGCAACTTCTTAATTAAGGATTTGTTTCTTTCAGCCCTATAGTTGTGGGTTGGGTGTTTTGGGGGGAGGGTGAGGGGGTGGACAGGGCTGGATGATTTTTTGGTGTTTGCTTTTGTTGCGTTTGTTTAATTCTTAGTGATGGACAGAGGTTTCAATGACTGAAGAATTCTGACCTTTGAGCAACATTTGTGCCAGAAAGGTCTCATCATCTATTATTCAGACTTAAAAAATGTTAGGAATAAATCTGAAGCAGTCGAAAGAGTTAGTTTTCTCTCCTGTCTTTCCACGTTGCCTCCAAACACTTACCTTTCTGCTCCTCCCCACTTTTCCCATATACCCCGATTTCAGTCGAGTCAGGACCACTAAAATTTCAGTGCAATTTAGCTTAACAGAGAAATTATGCCAGCGTCCCTACACATGGCCTACCCTAGCACCTCTTCACCCACTCTTGTGACAACACCCATAGACCTTCAGAAAATGTCCTCTTCATCCTCTCCAAATGTAGCAGACTCCCTTTGCCTAGGAGAGAGGGTGACAGCAGCCAAGGGGGACATGAGAGGTCCTGTCTTTTGTCTCCAATTTCTACAAGTCCTCTGCTGGAATGAGTAAACCATGCCAGTAATGCTGCCTTAGCCATTCCATGGGGAGGAGGAAGCACCTATTTTTTGGTAACATTTATAGTTTCATCCCTTTGGAGTCAGAGTATCATTCTGATATTTGTATAATGCGTGTCAATATTTGGAAACAGGGAAGATCAAGGTTCATGTTAACAATCAAGGAAACAAAAGAAAACAGATAACTTCAACTGTTGAATATATGGACTATCCTGAGATATAAGTGAGCATGTGTATTTGTTTGTTAATGCATCCAAAATATTCAGTTGCACTTCCAATTGGGAGGAAATGCAGATCGAAATTGTGTAATATAGCTAAGTTTTTTAGTCTTTTCTATGCACCTGGAGTGCACACATAAATGGAGACATTGGCTGGTGTGAACCTATTTGGAGGAGTGAAATCTTGAAAGGAATTGAGCTCAGAAAAGCAGCAGACAAACCAATGTTATTTGCCAGGAAATAAAAAAGTTACATCTTGTATGCAAAGTGATTCAGAACATCCATGCCCCTACTGTGCTCAAAAATCCAAAGGAAACATATGACACTCCTGTAGTCTTTCTGGTAAACAGATGATTTTATGGCACCACAGCACTTTCCAGACACAGAGATATTCCTGTTTTATTGACACCTTTCAAAAGCAAAGATAAGCCTGGATGTTTTCACAGTTAGACTGCCAGTTACTGACACTTACTAAAGCTAGTTTGCTTGAAAAATTAGTATCCTAAATTACTAAGTATTTTCTAGAATATCCAGAAATTATGGATGTGAAAAGAACAATATATAGATTAAATTCTGCTAATGTTTATAGCCATTCAAAACTCATTGAGCCATCAGGAGGCCAGAACTAGATATGCTTGTGCAAAAATAGCAGATGTTATTTTGTTAAGTTTAAACACTTAAGCAAGACAAATAATGCAAATTAAGGCACATACCTTAACTGTTTGTTTCAATATGGGAGATGAGGTCATACACTTCCTACAATATGTATTAATTAATGTATTCAAGTACATGAATGGGAAGTGCTAAGATGATGGATCAGACTCTTCTCATGTGTGGAAACCAGTAAAACAAGAGCTAACAGGCAAAAACTCATGCACAGGAAGTTCCACCTGAATACGAGGCAGAATTTTTTTACTATGAGAGTCACTGAGCACTGAAACAACCAGAGAGGCTGTGGATTGTCCCTCACTGGAGATATTCAAGAACTGTCTGCACACAATCCTGAGCCATGTGCTCTAGGGTATCCTTGCTCGAGTAGGAAAGTTAGACCAGATGACGCATTGTGGTCCCTTCCAACCTAACTGATTCTGTGATTCTGTAATACAAAATACTAGATCTTTCTGGAAATATACCATCAAATTATAGCAAAAACATGAATTAAGTTAACCTCTCTGAAATAGTTATATATAATTTACTATAAAGAGATAGAAAAACAATAACTAAATTAATACTGGTCTATATTTCATACCTGTTTCCCAAGGAAGACAGAAACTATTGAACTTTCCATGGTAAATAACTCACTACTCTGCTATGCAGCTGAGTTGAGAAAGATCAGCATGGATAAGCTATCTCAGGCACAATGAATGAGCACTTAGCAGGATTGGGCCCAAACAGAGATCAGTAGCTGGGAGTATATATGTGTTAAATACAAAACTGGTTTACTTACTGGTGTAGATTCTACTGAACAAGAAATTGTGAATGCTGAGCTGTGACCTGCATATGACACAACCTGTCTTTGAAGATGGCACAGATTTAACTGGTTGACTCTTGCCCAAGATGAATTGAGTACAGAATCTTAAAACACGTTGCGTAAAATGCTCAAAAAATATTTTTATAATGTAAGGATAGCTGGAACAGAAGTTTTTGATCCTAGCTGGCTCAAAAATTCATGCAGCTTTAATGAGCTGCAGAGACTTTAGGTTATGGTAGTATTTGATCTTAAACTTATTAGAAATTAAGTGTGGTTTTGCTATGGTTGCCAGTAATTCTGAATTTTCTACCTCAAACACACATTTTAATAATGTGATAACCTGGAGTGTATTTTGAACTAGATGACCCTGCTAATCCTGTGTAGTACATAGTCTGTTTCTTTCAGAGGAAGTACTGGGAATGACAAAGCACTGCATTTGTCTATGGCAGAATTTTGACATTCTAGCTGGCACAGTGGGAAGGGGTAGGAGGAG